TGGCAGCTGGCAGGCACGACCACTTCTACCACACGAAGGTGTCGGCATCGAGAAATTAGGGCCACCCGTGGGCCCACCCCGATGTTGCTATTCTTTGGGCTATCTCGATGGAAGCCTCATTGTGCAGGATAGCAGTATGGAGCCTAGGTGATCCTGTAATGAAACGGCCACAACTCGACATAAACCCAACACCCTAAAGCCTGTAGTCTAGGAGTTAGGATGAAGGGGACCCTTGGGGATATAGACCCTTTCAATAAGGTCCCTTTGAAGAGGTCTCCCCCCAATACTACCTACGATCGTCTGAACCCAGAAACTCCTCCACGTGCCCGTGCAAGGGAGGGCCTTCGGCTGACCCAGATCTACTTCGGGCTCCTCACCAGGCAGGAGTTAGTGTTCGGGAGTTTGGGGCTGAGGAGGTCAGTGTTCAAGAGTTTAGGGTTCAGGAGTTTACAGTAGGGTTTAGGACTTACTTAAGGGTTTTGCCATTCATGTAGGAGTTTAGGGCTTATTTAGGCCGCTAGAGTATTGTCCAAGCCTAAACCCGACCAGCACCCTCCCACGGTGTCCTGCTCCAGCTCTTCCTTCACTGTCGCCTGCAAAATACTACGAAGACACAAGAGGAATGAGAAGGCCGCACACAGGACAGCGCTGACAGCAACACGTGGTAGAAAGATGAAGAGCACTTGGCATAAATGCAGCCCTGCAAGCAGCACGAAGTACTCGTGCGAAAAGGAGTAGCAGGGTCTGCGGTTGAGTGGCCGAACAGCTCCAAGGCCAGCCCCAAACTTCAACAATCAAACCCCCACTAATATAGGGGGCCTTATAATTCATTACCTATACTATTTTGGGGGCTCCTGATTATAAGTATAGTATAGTGGGCCCCAAAACTCTACTCTAAGCCGGCGAGTCCATGATGAAACCCTGAGACGCATCTCACTCCTAAGATAAGGGCCTTGTCAATCAAATAGGGTTTGTGGGTATATGATACTATAAACGCAACAAGGAACCCCCTAAAAGAGTATTGGCAATTGATTGGCCCCTATATTAACGTAAAGTTACGAAGTCCTCCCAGCTTGCTCACGGGGCCTTACTAGTTAGAATACGGTGATGGGGCATATTATTCTTCTCCCATAATAAGGAACCCTAGGAAGATGTTGCTAATTGTAAAGGCCCCTATATTATGTAGCCCCAATCCTCAGAAGGATCTGCAGGGTTTAGGGTTCGGGTTGCAGGTTCAGTCAAGGCTGCAAGCCAGAGCATAGTCTTATTTGGGCTTGGGGCTTTAGGGTTTAGGGTTTAGGAATTAGGGTTTAAGGGTGCAAAGTTCCCAGATTCTCTGTTGATAGGGTTTGGGGCAAGGGAGAGGTACAGTCAAGGATCAAGGTTTTGGGATGGACGTTGGTTTTGGATATCGGGTATGGCTTGGGGGTCCTAGGGAGCTTGATTCATGGCATCACGGCTTCGTCTCTTTGGTTCAAACTTGTGTCTCTCCATTCCAAATCACTGCAGCAATCCGTAACTTAACCATGCGCCCAGCCTCAGGCGGAGCGGGGGGTGGCTTGGCCAAGAGTTTCGGGGCACCTGGAGGCATGGATGCTTGTTCACGTGCTTCACATGCCCCAAAATCAAGAATCATGTAGAGATTTATGGCCCAGAGCTGTTGCTTGAAGTCTTGTTGCTAATAACCCCTACTTTGGGGTTATGAGAACCCTAAACCCGACACTCTAAGGGTTTCCTCCTTTGGCCCACTTCCCGATCTCAGGCTTCAAGGTCGTGGGGCTTCAGCTTCGATGCACCGACCCAGCACCATGAGTGGAGCTATGGGAATTATGGTAAATTCTTTGTTATGGGTAACGCAGGATTTATATCATCAACCGTACGACAGGGCCTTTGTCGGATTTTGGGGTACATGGTGGTATAAACATAATAGGGAGACCTAAGGTATGGAACAGCTATAACAATGAGAAGGACCGCGTACCCAGTCCAAAGTTTGAGGGTTTCCCTGGACCCTACAGAATGAACCGTCGAAAAAGAGTTCAGGCGTTAGGGTGTAGGTTTCCTTCTTATAGTTCCTTATTATGACTTCCGTATAGCAGTGCGTAAAACGGCATGTTGCTTTGCGGGTAAAGTAGAGTTTAGGGAATCCGGAACCCCTTTCTTTCACAGCCTGCTATCACCATAAACATCACTGGTATTCTGCGCACAACAATGATCATAGCCCTTGCTCATCTTCCGAACAGTCTTGGCCAAAGAAACAGCGATGTTGGTCTTCGTGTACCACCAAGGTTACGATCGGAAGTGCTGTTGATGCCTTCTGTTGAAACCAACCATGTCTGTCATGGTCCTCGACCCGAGCCCTGACCTCAAAAACCTCAACTCTGATGACATCTGTGATATGTATGCGAGACAGCCTCTTGGCCGCGGTGGAAGCACCAGTCTACCCTGGCTGAGGAATCGCAATTTTGGATGAGGCAGATGAGTGTCGCAAGTTCTAAACCCTGAAGTCAACTTCTCAGCCGCTCACACCACTCCCGAAATCGTGAGCCAATGTAGACCCTCAACCCGAAACCTTCTTGGGGTGTTGTTGTGAGACTGGACGTGGAGTCATGAGAGGTACACACCTTAGGAAGCAAATGTTGCGACACGCACGAGAGCAAGAAATTCTTTGAACCCTACACCTTCCGACGAGTTCAGAAGTGGCTTCGGGTGTGAAGTGACCGCGAAGACTCGGCCACAGGGGCACAACCGCTAGGTCAATCAAAAACACAATGGCCTCTTCGCCACGCAACTTATGAGAGCCAGTTATCAGAATAGGGTCTTGGGCCATGTCATGGTACCACTACAACGGAGAATACAAGGGAAGAATATTATTGGCAAACTACTCATGCTTCTGGGTTATCCCGAACTTGGCACATGCAGTGCCTTTGCTGCAGGGCTCGGAGATGAAGCCTCCAATGGCCGAATCGTAAGGTCGGCAGGGCTGAGGCAGGATCAGCTTTCTTTCTATACAGCGGCCTCGAGAATTCGAATAGGGCTTTGAGGGGTATGATAGCATTGTACGGCCTATATGGGGATACTGCTACTTCACTTCTACTAGCTTTTCAGACCTCTGACCCCTAAGTCATCTTCCGGACCGTGAGTCATCGAAACCGGCATTCCATTGCAGCCCACTGAATGGATCGCTGTTTAGGCCACTGCATGTTCCCCAAACCCTCAACCCTGAACCATAAAGCTTAAACCTTCAACCCTAAAACCATAAGCCCTATACCATAAACCCTAAATCCCTAAATCCTAAGCCCTGAACCCCTAAATCCGCAAGTCCGTAAAGCCTACACCCTAGAACTGCTTTTGCAGGACCATCCTTCCAGTTCTCATGTCGCGGCAACGGCCAAGGGAAAATCCAACCATCAAACCCGCCAGCGGTTTAGCAACGGTGGGGCATGCTGCTGCAACCGATGCTAATCAAGGGAAGAACATATGGAAGAGAGGAAGGGAGACTGCATTGAGGCCCACAGAACATCTCCGTCCAACAGTTAGCAACTCCGTGCCTTTCGGAGATATGCAGACTCTGCATAATGTGGGAATTGATTGTGAGACTTCGAACCCGACCTTAGCCTAAATGACTCACGAAAGGAGGTGGTCTCCCTCTTCTCAACGCTGAAACCTGAACCCGCCTTCGGCGCGGGTGATGTAGCCTCCGCACAAACTAAGCAGGGATATCACGAATCGCTAACGGTTCAGGCTTCAATAGTCTACGGTTTTGAGCTGCAGAGTTCAGTGCGTTCAGGGATTGTTGGCTGGGGCTGTCTCACAGCCGGGCCTTATGAAGCGCCATATACCGACTGTAGCTGCCTCTTGCACCAGTCTTGTTGGTTCGTCCTTGCGTTCAGGCTGACCTGCGGATTTAGATTTGCAGTCTCTGGAGTCTTGGATTTCGCAGATTTGGGGTGCAAAGCCACTCTCTGTGATCCTCTCTACCCAACAAGAGGTCGTGGATTGCAAGGCTTATTATTCGAAGCGCATGTTGTCCGAGATCGCCTTCAATGCGGGCGGCGCCACGGCCTGGTGAGGATCACAAGCATAAGCAATCGCACTTTCACTGCTTTGCACGAAGGAACAGAGATGAAAATGATGATAAATATGATGTTGTTGACGACGACGCGAATGACGATGCTGATGCTGGTGTGTGCTGCTAATGCTCACAGCGATGACGGCGAGGATGACGATGATGATGATGGTGGTGGTGATGATGTTGACGATCATGGCGATGACGATGATGACGATGCTGATGATGATCATGGTGATGACGATGATGACGATACTGATGATCTTGATGAAGAGTGCATGATGATGACGACGATAATGGTCCGACGCAAACGAACAAGGTGAGATCACCTTCGCAGCAACACAGAAGGCTCAGAGCATGAATGCAGCCCCGAAACGTTCTGTAGGTGCCCCCAAAAATGGTCAGAGTCGTCACTTGTAGTCCCTACCTTAGCACAACATAATACTCATACTGAAAACCATTTTTTCAATCAAGTATTATCAAGCCCTGAGGTCAGTATAATGTCCGAAAACCCGCTGCTAACCATTAAGGCCAGACCTCGGAAGCCCGTCGATCGGCTCCAGCACGCTTAGCCTTCGGTCATTCGGACATTCAACGACTCGGGATAGCATTCGCCTACACTGCGAGGCAAGAAACCGAAACCTCATCCCTGCTCTCTAGACTCATCCTTGAAATTCCGCGGTCGCGGATGTCTGGCGGGGAGAGAGAAGTTAGAGACATTACACTGCTCACAAGCATTTGTTTTGCATACCTCGTCCTTGCGACACAAGCAAGACTGGTACATTGAGGTCTGCGCTGCTGAACCCCCCTAGGCGATCCTTCAAAGAAGCCCACTGGAACATTTTTGCAACCGTGAGGCGACATGCACCCAACTTTCTTTTGGTACTGGGGTCGTCACAAGCAATTGCTACGCTGCTACTATTGCACTGCTTTCTTAAAGGCTGAAGTCGCAAGTGAAGCGGTGGGCCATCTTTGCCTCGAGCTGCTTCATCTGGGACTTTGCCTTTTCAAACAGCTCCTGGAAGCTCCTGCACTCGGAAGGAATATCGAGACGTGGCTTGGGCCTGGTGTCCCCGAAGTTTGGCGAAATAAACCCTAAACCCTAAACCCGGTCCCGAGGAGTCTGACCGAGTCCTTGGCGGCTTTCACTCAAAAGGCTGTTTTGGAAGTCTGCTACTGGAAGAGCTCGGGTCCGAGCCTTTGTTTTATGTCAGGGCGTAGCTTCGGGGCTTCTCAAATGGGCGTCTTGCCGAGTCAGATTTTGATAAGTGGCCCATAATCCCGACTGTTCGCTCTTGTTGAAATTTCCACGGATCTGGTCGGGGGCTAGACCCGAAACCTTACCCGCCTAAACCCCAAACCACCGGTATTTCCAGGCTCTCCTGGGCGCCGGCTCTTCCGGAGGTGGTGCTTTCGGCACCTGCACCGCAAAGTGTCCCAGGAAGAAGGGAAGCACGAATTCATATAGGGACCTTGGCAATACTTGGCACCGGGGTTTTGGAACATATTCATATGATTGACATGTAATTATATGGGACTATAAGGGGTCTTAGTACTTATTCAGACCCACTAACCTTAGAAATCCACTAAAACATCACTAAACTCTCAGACAACCCTTAACGGCGACGCCGCGCCTCGGCCTTCGCTGCGGGCGAAGAGCCAAAAGCAGTAAAGGGCTTCGCCGGAGCCGGTGGAGGCGCAGAGGAGGAGACGGCCTGTCCCCCCAGAAAGGGCTGGCTGAGGGGTTCCTTTCAGAAGGGTTCTGTAGGGCGTAGGCTTTAGGAGTGTAGGCTTTGGGTTTTAGGGCTCAGGGCTTGGGCCAGGTTGCGAGTTCAAAGTTTTCGCGTGGTTTAGGGCTACAGGGATAGTATCACTTGTTCCGACCCCAAGACTAGGGACGAAATTAAGACGGCGTCACGCGTGTTCTGTTCAGGCTGGCTCCTTCGTTGTTTGGTCTGATTACTGTATATACGCTGTATCAGTAGGACGATGCCTTCCCATCGCACCAATGCCCTAGCCTGTGAGGCTGCATCATGTTGTTGTCGTTGCTCGACAGCTGAAGGATGTCGAGGCTATGGGTAAGCGGGTTTCGAGCTCGCAGAGTCGGTTGGTTGAGGTTTTTGGTAGTGATGCCTGATGAGCTGCTACAAAGCATGTCTGGACAGGTGTAGAGCCCTCAAAAGTAATTACACCTGCTGAGCACGGGCCAGGGATTTTGGCCTCGGTTTATTTCGATTTGAGGGTGCCTAGTAAGTAGCCTTGCAATGCATGAGACTGTGGAAGCCCGTTCTACAACATCATGCGCGTCGCCTCTTGATGCAGACCTCTGTTAGAGCATCTGTTGATGCAGCTGAGGGTTCAATATTCGGGGACCTATGGTTCTTCTCAACAGGCCTGAGACTGGGATCGAAGGGCCCCATGCCAGACCTGCGACAGGTCTCGAAATTGAGCGACATAGTCATCATAAGAACAATGGCCATCACATGTCATACCCTGTGAGAATAACCGTGGTAGACGTGACACGAACGATCTGGTTACCCGGTTACTTTGAACAGAACGTTGAAGATAATGATGACGATGATGATGGTGGTGGTGCTGGTGCTCGTGTTGGTGTTGGTGATATTGATGACGATGGTGATGATGTCGATGACGATGGTGATGGTGATGCTGATAATGACGATGATGATGACGATCCAGAAGAAAGTGATGATCATGCTGCCTGTGATGACGACGATGATGATGAGGGTGATGGTCATGACGATGATGACGACGATGAAGCTGGTGAATATGAAGATGAAGATGATGATGATGATGATGATGATGATGATGATGATGATATTGATGATGATGATGATGATGATGAGGAGGAGGAGGAGGAGGAGGAGGAGGGTGATGATGATGATGATGGTGATGGTGATGATGATGATGATGGTGATGATGATGATGATGATGATGATGATGATGATGATGATTGTGATGGTGATGTTTCGAACTAATGTTTTGAGCATATATGAATCTTCGTTATAGTAGAAGACATTACAACTGGAGCATTCACACCACTGGTGCGACACAAATGGGTCAATGAGTCCGCGGCGGTCTAGCTGTCCGTTGACAATTCACCTACCAGACTCAGTCCTCACAATGCACCGAAACACCTCAACCCTCCAAGACGTCTAAACCGAAGCAAACCCTAAATGCTACAACCCCGAAGCACCAAAACCTCGCTGCCTCCCCGGCTGAACCAGGCCGGGCCTTGGGGGTGGGCGGTGTGTACCGCGGCGCTTTCTTGCGCGGAGGGGCGCCCTGTCCCGTGAGCAAGGGTGCCGCACGAGAGTAAGAGGCGAGCCCGGGCCCAGCACGATCCTCGATACTGAGAAAAACTGACTCCGAAGGATGACGCAGGACATCATAACAATGCCAAATCTCAGTTGCGGCGGCACGGTATGAGTATTCCGAGACTCTCGGACATGCATCTTGGAGTAGTCTCAATACTTGCAGGGCCGATCATTATGGATACCTTGTTTAGGGGTCCATATAACAAGGGTTCTGCCACTGAGATGGAAAATCTCGCAGACAGGAGACCCTAATGTCCTGAGCGAGAGCCAGCGATTCCATTCAAGGTCAAGCCAAGTGAAAAACCCTGAACCCAAATACCCGAAGCTCCTGAAGCCCTTAAACCACAAAGACCTAGACCTGAAAGCCGTAAACCCCCTAAAACCTTTAGGGGAAGGCCTGTCCCAGAATAAACCCTAAACCCTAAACCCCAAAACCTTCAGGATCTCGAGGTCTTAAGGCGAAGCAAGCCCCGAACTCTCAAAAGCTGCACGAAGCCATGGAGCGGGGTTTCAGGTTGGCTTTGGTGCCTGCATCAATGATCACTAACTGCTGCGTAAAGCGTGATCTATTCGATCCATCCCGCTTTTGCCGCTGTAGTTGCAACGAAAGGCCTGATACTGCCAGTGGAGGAGGATAGATTTCAAGAGCCAGGTAAGCCGAACAACGCCCCCAACAGTGGAAGGCTTCAGACAGAGGTGCAACCCACCCCTAAACCCTCAACCCTCAACCCTAAACCCTAAACCCTAAACGCTAAACCCTAAACCCCAAACCCTAAACCCCTCCCACTGGCCTCTGTTCCTCCGGCTTCTTGAGCCTGTGCATTGCTCACCCGGCCTGCCATTTCTGCAGCCACCGGTCGCTGTTAGAGCACTGGTATACGAACTCTCGGGGCCTTCATCATTTTGGGGGCCCATTATACTATACTGATAATAAGGAACCCCCAAAATAGTATAGGTAATTATGAAGGCCCCTATATAACTATGGTTGGGCTTAAGGCTTTGGGTCATGAAAGAGATAGCAGCTCCCGGATTGCGACTCGGTCTAGTCGGCAGAGATTCGTTTTCTTTTTTTCTGGCCCATGGGCGCAGTGCAAGCTGTGCAACGAAAGTGATGATAGTCATAGTAGAGGCCGTGGCCATATAAATACTGGTATTTACTGACAGTACGAATGGCTCGGAAGGTACTACGAACACGAACAGACATCCTGGCCGACGAAACGGAGAGGGTTTCAGGTTCAAAGTAGAAGCTGCATGGTCAAGGAGAGGAAGAGCTCAAGTCCCTGTATGGCAACAAGAACGACAGGAATGGCAACAGCGACAGAAGTCGTGAGATGCTTTATAAGATGATGAACAACATGGTATACAATCGGAACAAAACAAGTGGGATGCTTTGCCATGGAGTTGTGCATGCTGCTTTCAGCGCAGAATACCTGGACCTTAAACCGTAAACTGTTTCCATAAAGCCCAAACATCCTAAACTAAGGCCCAACGCCTAACCCCTCTGTTGGTAGGACCTGCATAAGACCTTACCTCAAGATGAACCTACCCTAAAACTCTGCACAGAAAGCCCGAAAACCTAAACCCTAAACTGTGGTTAAAAGACAAACGCTAAAATCCCCGAGCTTTGCCCAAGCCTTGTGAGCCGGGATCCTCTGGCGCGGTAGCCCCAATCCTGAGCTCTGCTAAGTCTCCTCCTGCCACTGATCCGTAGCCCACGAAGGCGTAATATAGAGGCCTTAATAATTCGACTAGGGTTTTGGGACTATACTTTAAATGAAGGCACCCCCAAAAAACAACATTGGTACTTCTTTAAGCATTTAAGCCCCTATATTCGCAAAACAAGGACACTGAGTAGAATGTGCTGAGCATGCTCTTCAACACGGTCGCAGCCATAGCCAACAGCCAGAATAACACCAGCAGTCGACGGATCTTGTAACAAAAGCCGGGGAGCCACTAGGAATACTAAACTTGCACGAACACAAGTAAGTAACGATTATTATCGTACTAGAGCGGCTAGTGCTGCTGCTGCTGCTGCGGCTGCTGAGTGCTTCCCGAGGAACTTTCAAAATTATGACCTGGAGCACCCCTTGGACAATGTAGCAGAGCGACGGCACCCGCACCTCTTCAGCAGAATTTGCTCCAATCACTAGGTTCTGGGGCAAGGTTTGAGTCTAGGCTGCGATCTTGAAGTGGAGGGCTGAGCAACCCTATGCATCAGACTCCAAAGGGTCTAAAGCTTAGGGCTTAAGGTTCAGGGTTCAGGGCTCAGGCAGCTTAGGGTGCTTGGACGGATGGTTCTTGGATTTTGCTTGCTTGGGGTTTCGGGCTGAGGGTCGTGTAGACCCCTGATTAGGTCACAGCCCTCGGTTCATACGGGTCATAATAGCCTATGAGGATGGACGGTTTGCGCATCAGCAGTCTAGACTTTGATGTGTCGGTGCTCGATCCAGGGCAGAGGTTTGCCAACCCGCACTGGTAGAGCCCTGAGCCTGGTCTTACACTGTGAAGCGTGCAAAACCATAGAAGGACAGAAGTCCAATAGTCGACAGATTGGTTTCGCAGTCTTGCTGCTGTGTTTCCACTGCGTGGGTGCTGCTTTCGCTGTTGCGGGTGTTACCTGTTCAGCCTCTATGGGGAAAGAGAAAAGACTGGGTTTACAGTTCATATCAAAACGCGACAAACAAAGCAAGAAGTGACGGCAAAGCACGGGTTGAGGGCCAAGTCCAGAGTTCAGGAGTCTGACATTTTCTGCTATCTAGTGAGGGTGGCCGGGCTCATATAGGAGCCCAGATTGTGCTACATCTATGGGATCTGTAGTGTAGGAACAGTGTTCCAACTTCAGGCTCTAGCGCTGCGACCTAGTCTTTTCATGTGCGGTGGAGGGCTTGCTGCGGGCTTCTGTGAGAATAGGATCCCCTGAAGGTTTTGATGCAGAGCTTCATGCGCACTATGAGGACCCCAAAAGCCGTATCCTATGGAAATACGTATCTCACAGCTCAAAAAGCCAAAGACACGCAGACATTCCCTTCATCTAGAGCCATACCGCTGCAGCTTTGGACATAAAGAGCTTTCAACACTATTCCTTTAGGGTTTCTTGTCTTAGGGCTTGGGGTGAACAACCGAAAGTTTTGTGTTTAGGGTTTGGCAATGTGCAGCCGGGCTGGCCTTCTTGCTGGGAGCATGCATGATCCGCGGTGCCGAGGACGCTGCCGATGCCTCGTGGAAACCATTATGTGTGCACATACGGATGTAAATCTCTGACTATGTACCTCTTAATACATACATCAAGATGTAGACATAGATGTAGATGAATCGTATGATACAGATACAGATACTGGTATAGATAAGGATACCGTTAGGTGGTGGCCAAGGAGTTTTTGTATGTCTGTGCCTGCTTTGTAATTGCATGAGCGTGTGCTTTATCGTCCCCTGCTGAGAACAGCTACGTGTAAACTTCTGCACTCCTGCCAAGTCTTGTCGTATCCTACGGCGAAAATATCCCTGCTTTATGTCAACTCTGAAACGGTTCCTGACACATCTAACGTGCATTGTACGCAATGCGTTCGACTTTCTAGGCACCGTCCTATCTTTCTGTCTATGCCTGTAGCTAGGTATCTATCGTCATAAGAGTAAATCATTCATGCGTTCTTGCTTTCCTTCCTTCGTTCACAGGGCAAGACTGCGGTAGGATGACAGTTCGTCGGACTGTCGCATGAAGGTCTTGCGCACCTTCCAAAATCCTCTTCCACCATCGTACTTGTGTATGACGGCTTCCGTCTCAGTCCCGACATACATGCATCAATCTGCGTGCGTGTGTATGCGTTGCTGGTAGTCTGACTGCATCATTCGAAACGTGTTCAAACAGACCGGTTGAGAGACAGAGAGAGAGAGAGAGAGAGAGAGAGAGAGAGAGAGAGAGAGAGAGAGAGAAAAAAAAAGAGAGAGAGAGAGAGAGCGAGAGAAACAGAGAGAGCGAGAGCGAGAGCGACAGCGAGAGAGAGAGATAGAGCGAGAAAGAGTGAGAAAGAGCAATGTTGCTTGGACCTGAATCAAAAACTTAACGGCCAGAAGGTACAACACGTGAATCTGTTGCATCATGTCTGCGAACGGCCGAAGCGCGGACGCATTTTTCTCCCCTGAACCCGAAACCCTACACAGCCACCCAGCCAAGTGTCGAGGGAAGGTTTTGGGGCCAGCTTTTGCCGCGGAGGTCGCTCTGGCGAGTTAGGCTTAGCCGTACTCGTGTCCTCGGTTCGAGGTATAAGGCCGTTCGGTTTAAAGTTTAGAGTTTAGCATTGAAGGCGTTCAGGGCTCGGTTTTGCTGGGTTTCATAAAGGTTTCATAGAGGTTGAATAAGGGCTCCATCAAAGTGTCTGCAAGTCGCGTAATTGAAGGTGCTATACGGGCGTTGCAGGCCAGGAAACTAGGGGCAAGTACGACTAAGATAGGGTTTGGGGATTTACTATACTACATGTAGACACTCCAAAGTGGCGCGTTGCTACTCATCATTCAACCTCATGTTCGGACTCCAACAACGGGCAGCTTTGCGCAACGTGAAGGCCTGACGAGTTGTGGTGTTGTAGAATAATCCAGACTCTCCATGATAAATGCGCCTTAGAGAACCTCTTTCAACATAAGGAGGGTTTATTGATCAGGGGTCTACAGTACCAGCACCACAGGAGCGGCCTGTAGCATGCAAGGAACTACTGAAACTAGTGAGCTGGACGTGTACAGTGAATCGGCTGTGGTTTAGGGTTTAGGGTTTAGGGATTTGGGATCCAGGAACACATACTGGCACAATCACCGAGAAGCCACTGGTGCGCCGACTGGGGGTGCCCCACTGCCTTCCAGAGCGTAACCAAAAGGCTTGCCTTGGTTCTGCGCCCAAAAAAGGGTTTGGAGTGTAGGGTGTAGGTTTAGGATTTAGCGTCTCACTCCCCATAGGTACAAGGATTCAGTTCATGTTGAGAACTGAATTGTTACATGTTCTTGCTGCTTGTTAAGGCCCATTCGAAGTCCGGGTATGCTACAGCACTCAAGCCAGACCCTGGATAAGCTGCAAACCCAAAGGGTATGGTCCCTTTTGGGGTCCATATTATAGTACGGCACCTAATATTTAGGGTACTCCAAAAGGGACCCCAATTTTGACAACCACCCATATGTAAAGATAAGACGAAGGTGACTGTGGGGCCTGGCTCCTTGCCCTGAGGGCCAGGCCGTCCTCCACGAAGACTTGGAAGTTCACCTGGTCGCCGACGCCGAAGTGCTCGAGATTCCTGACATTTTAGGGTGCAAGGTTTAGGGTGATGCATAAAAGAGTAGGCTACGGGCCCTTCTGCTGCAAATAGCAGGTATGGCGAGCAATGATCATGATGTGTTGGTGATCCATCAATGCCATCAAAACCATCGTCATCATTATCATCATTGCCCTCAATGGCAACCTTCATTTACACTGACCATACTGCTCACCCCTATAGTCTTTGGCTTAATGCTGCCGGCCCGGCTTTTCAAGCTGAGGCCCTAAAGTAGGGGCCTCGATGATTGGGCCAGGGTTCTGTTGCTCCTATAGTTAAACTAATGAGCCCCAAAGAACATTACCAGTCTGTTCTCAATCTTCTACACTAAAGCCAAGCCCTGAAGGCCTCTGAAAACCGGACAAGATGCTCTCGAGACACGATAACGTCTCGGCCGAAGACCACTTCGGACTCGCGGCAGACGATGAATCCAAGGCCCTTCACCGGGCTGATGTTCTTGATCACCCCTGTGAAGACCTCAAGGGACTTTTGTATAACAGCATCATGCTGCTCATGCCGCGGCCGGAATAGTTTGAGTGAGGTTTAGGTGGGCGAGTGGGTATATCCCTAAAACAAAGTATGCCTGACGGTTCAAGCTTGCACGGTACTTGTAATCAACAGCTTCTGCTGTAATTACCTTTGTTGCGGCGCTACTGCGCGCGGACTAAACCCTAAACACGAATAGTACTAATACGAATACTACTAATAATGATAATGATAATAATAATCATCATCATCATCATAATCATGATCATAATCAGAATAATGATAATAACAGTAATAACAATAATGACAATAACAATAAAAATGAAATAAAAACAAAAGCAATCATATATTAAAAGTAAAAATATACTAATAATTAGTTTTATTTAAATAATGATGATAATAATAATAATAACAACAAAAATAGTGATAATATTACCACAAACAACACTAATAACAGTAACGAAAATACTCATAATGATCATAATCATAAACTTAAGAACAGGAATGCGAGCCGAGGGACTGAGGGTCAGATTCGGTCAGATGTCTAGATTTGCCCCTGAAATGCTCTGGTGGCCCCGGGCCCATCTTCCCCCTCAAGCGCTAGGGTTTAGGGTTTAAGATTTAGGAACTCGGACAGACTGAAATTGGGATCCGTGATGCGCAATATTGAGAGTTCTACGGGCTACCATTCTTCTTACCTTTGGTTAGTACGGAATGGAGGAATGGGGCACAAGTATAACTACTATTACTAGCAGTCTTCCAGTCCCTTCTAACCAAAGGTAAGTCTTCACTGGGCTATCATCTTTCACTCGATCCAGCCTGCTGGTCATCTATCTCCGCACGTGTGTCAAACGCGATGTCCACCTTTAGGGGCAACATTTTCGGCACTGCACAAGTCAAGGTTTATGGTCTTGAAAGTAGGGTGGATCTAGGGTTCAGGGTTATACGATGTTACAACAGCAACATGCACAAGTTTTGTATTCGGAGCCACCATCTCGGCCGCATATCATAGATTCCCAAATACATGCCGATCGTAGATTTATGCATTGCAACGCCGGGGGTTTCTTGTAAAGCTATATAGCGGCCAGTACGGCCATCCGTGGCACGAACGGTTTTTGTTTCCATGATCCGGAGCTAGCATGGATTCAATACGCCTTAATGCATACCCTGATCAACAACCACCCTTTCTGTAAAGGCCCTGATTCTAGTATGCAAGCTCTAGCCCTTTATCCAGGAAAATTTTGGGGTTTAGGGTCTTAGGTCGTCCAGGGTTTGGGGATGGAGATTTAAAAATGCTGAACGGCAAGATCAAAACGCATCCACAAGCTGAACGAAAGCCGAGAGTTCCGCGGACCAAACCGCATGCGGGGGAGCACCAAAACAGAGCACCAACATGGAACCCTAGTCTATTGAGTAAGGCCCCTATAGTAAACTCCAAAACCTCGAACCCCCCAATTGGCCTCGACCTCGCCATCCTCCGCTGGGGCTGCGCGCCCGATCGGCAGCTTCTTGGGAGCTTTGGGCCCCTTCCTGAGCAACAGGGCTTAGGGTTTGGGGTTTAGGATTGGGTGGTAATTTTTTTTTGACTTTTTTTATTCCTTTTATTTTTTTTTTGGCCCTGGCTTCTCCTGTTTCCTAGGAACGGGCGGCATGGACATGGGCCTGGGACTGCGCCCAAGGGCGCGGGGGGGAGACACGAGGGCCGGGGCTGGGATCCCTACCCGCAACTATACATCTCTACATCTACGAATACTTTTATACATATACCCTCCAGACAAGAGCTGTCTCGCATCATGCAGGTTTTCGTGGTGTTGCTGAGGAAGATGGTACTGCCGATAATTTACCAACAAATGTCACATGCAAGGTGTGGCGCCTGGAGATGTGACCTAGCAGATTTGAGGCTTACGTCTAGTTGGCACAGCAGGAAACCAGGCATGCCAAAAGAATATCATCCTGAGATTTTTTTCCTGCTGGCACTGCACGCAGCCTTCGCATGCCCGACCCTGGATTTCAACCGAAACAGGATAACTTTGTAAAGCGAGGGACATCCTTTACATATTCGCTTGTCTCGCCAAATGTTACAAGTACCATGTCCAAGTCGGGCTTACTACCCATGCAGAATACATGGGGCAAGATGGTCGGCATCGTCTTATAGAGCCGTTACCATCGCAACATAAACGGCACGATGGCTTTATGCTGGGCAATCGGCAAGTGCTGCTGTAGCAAACCCACAAACAAGTCCGAGCACCCTGGCAACCAGAAGTCATCCTGCTAGAAAGGCTTTCTAGAGTAAAGGTTCCAAAGTCCGCAATGCACTGGGAAGACTTGCTACGTATACAAGTAAACCTCCAAGGATGGAACCTTGGACACAGCAGAACAAGTTGCGCATACGCATGCAGTCACATGCAGGTCTCGGCACGATTGCAACTTCTTTTGAGCTTTCGGGTGCCGGCGCGAACTGCCTCGACCATCCAGTCTGGTCGCCTGCTACTGTTTTCGTTTTTGTTTGCCGGCACTCCCCGGGACCAAAGGCTTTGCCTCTGCGGCCAATCTTGCCAGCCTTTGATCAGCTTCCCGGCGGCCTCACACAGCAACAATTGTCCTAAGGACAAATTTTGACCCTGTCGGCCACGGGCCTATTTGCAGCTGCACGACCTCCGCCGCGTGACCTCATGCACCCACTACAGCAGGTAGCACGCCACAGCTCATGTGATCAGGCATCTGGGGGTCTCGGTTGCTTTGTCGTGGGGGGCCGAGAAAGCCATATTTTGCCATGACAGCCACTCTGGGGAGATTGGGAAAATCGCGACCGACATCCACGCAGCACCCCCAGCAAAAGATGGTTTCTGCCCCTTTTGCAATCCCAATAACGAACCCAAATTAACACCGTGGGATGCGGGATTGCCGAAGTGGGTGCTCTCATCCAAACCGTTGGCAGAGAGCCGTGCGCTCTTTCAGCTCTTGCACTTCGGCAGCATGACCTCCCACCCATTTTTTATAAACACTTTTATATCGTTACGCGGCATTGAGTTAAGGCCAATTTTGCTATAGCTAGTTACAGCAGAGCTCCCACCCCCAGTCTGTCATATACCGACTGGGCCTAAGAGCCTGCGGCTCCCCTTCCGTGGCCCTTAAAAAAACAAACTGAATATAGATATATCTCTTATAGTTTAGGGCTTTCGGGAAACTACTAGTGTGGCTTTAGGGGAACTTTCTAGGACTGAGCACAGCGCACAGGCAAAAATCGCCTGCGCCGGGTCAAAACAACCCGGATTTTTCGCACCAAGAGCATATCGGCATCATACAGCATCCTCACCTAGGAGACCACACCAAGCATCAAGAGCATTGAATTCCTCCATCCCCGCCCCTCCCGCGGCCCCCGCCCTACCCCAAAGCTAGACTTGTAACATCGTGGGAGCATGGAGACATCAAGCTGAAAGTTGGAAGAGTCCAAAAACGAGCTTGAAAGTTGCCGTTCGGTGGTTTCCTGAGGGCCGGCAACTGACCTGTGTGTGTATATATATCTATAGACATATATGCATGCGATATCATATACATAATATAATATAATATGATATAATATGATATAATATAATATAATAAAATATAATATAATATAACATAACATAACATAACATAATATAATATAATGGAATATAATATAATATAATATAATATAATATAATATAATATAATATAATATAATATAATATAATATAGTATATAATATAAAATCAAAACAAACCATACCATATCACATAACATAATATAATATAATATAATATGATATAATATAATATAATATAATATAATACAATATTATATTATTATATAATAGAATATCATATCATATAATATAATATACTATAACATCATATCATATAATATAATATAAAATACAATAATATATGTATAATATAGTATAGAAGAATATTTTATACAATAATATTATATTATATCATATAATATAATATAACATAATAGAACCTAATATAATATGATATAATATATTATACAAAAAAACTATATTGTATCATATTACGTTGTATTATATAATATGATGTAAAATGATGTGATATCATATAACATGATGTAACATATTACGGTATAAAATGATATAGTACAATATAGGTGAAGATAACATAATATAAGAAACGATAAAAAGTGATATAGCAATATATACGTAACGCTTATATAAGTAAGATATATAATATAGTATACATATAGCAGTAATATAGCGTAACATTTATAAACAAAAACTGTAAAAGAAAATCTTTATAATGTAATATAACAAATATATTATATAAAAATATAAACATATAATATAATATCATGAAATGTAATATAATATAATACAATATAAAGTAATCTAATATAATATAGCAATATATAACGCAAAAAAAAGATAATATGGTATAATATAGTACAACATAGCAAGGTGTAACGTAATGTATATTAATATGATATACTATGATATCATATACTATAAAAAATATAATATCAAACAACAAATATAACATAACATAAAATAACATAATATAATATAATATAATATAGTATAATATAATATAATATAGGATAAATTAATATAATATAATATAATATAATATAGTACAACATAGCAATATGTAACGTAATATAAATTAATATGATATACTATGATAGCATATACTATAAATAAAAAAACATAACATCAAACAACAAATATAACATAACATAATATAAAACAATATAGTATAGTATAATATAATATAATATAATATCATATAATATAATATAATATAACGTAATTTAATATAATATAATACAATATATAGCACCCTCTTCCTGCCTGTCGCCCTGCAATTCGTCACCTGCTGTGACAGGCTCCAAGCAAACCATCACAAAAAAAAAAAAATCAACCCCCCTTTAGGATTTAAGGCGGTTTAGGTTTAAGGGTTTAGGGTTGAAGGTTTAGGGTTTAAGGTTCATAGGGTTTAGTTTTAGGGTGTAGGGTTCAGGGCTTAGGTTTAAAGGGGTTCGGGGTTTAGGGTTCAGGGTTTAGGGTTTAGGGTCCAGGGTTTAGGGTTCAGGGTCTAGGGCAAGTTTAGGGTTCAGAGTTGAGGAGATACTCTACGAAAACAAACACTCCGTAAACTCGGTTGACATGCATGTAGCTCGAAGATGACTATTCCTATCCTCTGGAAGTAACCTCAAGAGAATCCTGGCACCCATGATGGTTGATCTTCCATTAGCCTTAAGATGAAACCTCACAGCGCAAACCCCAAAACCTAAGCCCTAAACCCTGAACCCCAAGCCCTAAACGCTAACTTGAGGGTCTTAATACAACCCCAACCCCTACACACTAACTTGAGGGTCTTAATACTGTTGATGATATAAATCCTGCATTACCTTAAGGACCCTAAACTATGGGAATTATGGTATATTCCTTGTAATGGGTCATGCAGGATTTATATCATCCACCGTACTTAGAATAGGGTTTTATAATCAGGAACCCCCAAAATAGAATAGGTAATTTCATTAAGGCCCCTAGAGTACACCTGAAATATCGAGGACAAGCCTCCCCCGTCCTTTCGCTTCAGGAGGTCGCTCCGGGCTTCGCGGCCTCTTGCTGCCTTGAGTCCTGCCTTCGGGGCCCTCGCGCTTCCTGCAAAGACAGAGACTCAGAGAGCTTAGGGGCTTTGGGGGGAATTATTAAAACCATGATTACCACTTGCGATTTTGTTTAATCTTGCTGGGGTTAGGATTTAGGGCCGGGCTTCTTGAGGTTCAGTGTTTCGTGCGTAGGGTCCAAATAACTCCCAATGAAAACCCTTTAAAGGCCCTACAACCCCTTATGAAAAACCCTAGGAAGGCCCTCTATCTCGGGATAAGGGGCCCTTGATTGTTTTAGGAAACTCCCAGGTCCTGCCGCCGCGCGATCCGCGGTGACGCCTCTGTGCCTTTCCGAGCACGGTGTTGGCATTCAAAGCCCATGCTGTGAATGCAGCTGATAGATCTACATACTACACATCTGTATGTATGTCATATGTATATGTATATATAATTAATTGTACACAACAATATAGTGTGTGTGTGTGCGTACATGTGTGCGCAGACATACACACACACACACACACGCATGCATGCATGCATGCATGCATGCATGCATGCATACATACATACATACATACATATCCATAAATACACAGATGTGTGTGTGTGTGTGTATGTGTACGTGTGCGCATACGTGTTGTACGCAGGGTGTCTATGCATGCTTCGTCAGAGTCACTGCATGGGAGAGCGAGCCAAGTCAGTAGTGCTTGCATTTCTTCCATCGGGCACCACATGTATGGGGTTTAGGGTTTAGGGTTTGGGGGGGTGAATAGCAAGGCCTTGGCGGCGACGATGGCGGCCCCCACCGGAACCGAGGAACGTTCGGAGGTCTGAGTCGTGTCTCCAGCGCGTGTCCTGGTTCTGGCTTTGGTTCCTCTGGGTCACTAGCTCGCCTCAAGCGGGAAATTCTAGCCCAAATCCCTGAACCCTAAACCTTGACACTCTAAATCCCTATATAACACCCTAAACTCGATAAACCCATACCTTGAAACGCTAAACTCCTAAAACTCCCGACCCCTCAAGCCCTCAGACTCAGACCGAAACCCAAAGCTCTGAACCCCATAAGCCATCAACCCGTATTGAACCTTTGGATACTGCACCACCAGACACCCTTATAAACTCTTGTAAATTGGTAAACACCCTTGAAGTAAAAGCCAGAAAGTTGGAATATGATTATCCTATATAAACCCTTTATGGTAAATTATAGGGTATCCTACCCTGAAACCATATTCCAACTTTCTGGAGTTCCCTTTATAATCGACACCAACCCTTCAAATGCATCACCCTCGGGTCCTTTGCTTCCTGCGAGGATCCCGCACTCCCTGGAAGAGCCGTCGACCAGTGGTCGGCATCTGCGAGCGCTGGGTTTCTGCGTAAAGTTGAAGGGTTTACGGTTCGAAGGTTTAGGATTTAGGACTTCGGGTTCAAGACTCACGACTTGGGGTTTGGGATGTAGGATTCAGGACTTAGGGCTGATAGGATTTAGGATTCAAGACGGTGGCGTGGGTCCAGGATGCAGGGCTCTCGCCTTAAGGTTCGGGATTCAATCTTTGGGGGCCGGCCAGGGGCTTGCGGTTTCACGGTGAGTGTTGGTGAGTTCTCTACTCCATGCCCCTATTCCTCAATTTCTTCAGAGCACCAGAGAGTGGCCAGAAGTTGCTGTGAGGACCGAGTGAAAGAGCTTAAGGTTTTGGACTCACTGAAACAATACAGCAGGATGTCAGTTGAAATGTTCATACTCATTGCATGAGTCTCTAACACGGGTCACAGCAAGTAGAGGAAATACAATCATAATCATTTGGGCATACGGCATAGCAACAACATTGCGAGGAATAAGAACACTACCCACAAAATCGTACGAACGTGAACAACACTGATAGCGGCAGCCATGACAATCGCCATAAGAAGAGTAATAATGAGAAGAAGGCTGCAAATCATCCAAGAACGAATCAAATCTTGCACACCCAGAAGACATGTAGTGTAAAACTACGGCGTAAATACTAAGCGCTGATCATGGAATCTGAAAACCCGCAGCAAAGTGACTGCAAGCGAAAGATATAACAGGAGGGTTTATAGGGCTTCAGGGCTTAGGATTTCGGGCCAAAGAATGCAAAAAGGAGGTGAAAGCTTACAATCGTACAACTCCCTCAGCTCCTCCACTGCTCGATAGACGGCAGCTTTCGACAAAAAACGAGTCTGGAGGATGGGAAAGAGAAGGGCTGCCATAATAATATACTAATATAATACTATAGTACTATAAAAACATAATAATCTAATAATATGATAATAAAAAAATACATAATAATTGCCATGCCTGCGGCTGCGCTTTGCCAACCGGAGGTCTGGATGCCATGGTCAAACAGCGCGGAAACCATGGCGAAAGCTTCTCGGAAGTATGTTGAGTGTGGCTGGGACCTAGGGCTTGGAGGACTGCTGTAAGCATAAAGAGATCGTGGAACTGGCACAGGCCCTCTCTGTTCCTGTCGCCTGCCTGCTTTTGAATATAATCTGTGTCAAGGTCTGCGCAAGATGGCGCAGGTTGTTGACCGGCTGCGCTTGCATGTGCTTGATAAGGAGACAAAGCGGAGCCCGACAATCGCGAACGTCATCCTTGTGCATGCTGCAACCGCCGACACAGCCAGCGCAGACTTCTCTACCTTGAAGTTCTACCTCAGGCAGTCTTTACTGTTGCCGGGTGCGGTCTGCAACAGGCGGGGTGCTGATATCCATGCTTCTGCTGGATGTCAGACAGCTGCCATGATGCGCATTCTTCCCGAGTGGGTACGGAGAGAAGGCACCACATTGCTATTTCTAGGCTACGAAGGCTATGAAAGCCATGAACCTTATGATGCCCTTGCACAATACCCGGTCATTGTCACAGCCAGCCTTACCTTTATTCGACTGAGACAGCTCCATGACGTCTTCAATACTCATCTTGTTGAACACCACCTTCCACATCTAGCACAGAGCATTTGCACGAGGCGCACTGCCTGTTGGCATGGTGCTGACAGGATACTGGGCGGCACCGCTAATATCATAGTAGACCATACTGTAGTATGCCACTATACACTACTCCGATTCTTACTCTGACATACTTTGAAATGCCATCATATACTATCATGTACAAAGTCTGCACTTTAGCCACTAAGCAACGCCCGCTGGTAACCCGTCGGAGACTGCGTTCTTCTCACCGAGGTTTCCGGCAATCAGCCGTGAAAGAGCAGATGGAAGGGTAATGGCTTAGACCCGACATGTCGAGCCATAAACGCTAAGTCCTAGACCCTACACCCTAGACCATAGACCCCAGGACCCAAAACCCCAAGCCCCAAAACCGAACCCCCTAACTTAAACCAGTGCCCTCATCCCTAAAACGCTACACCCGGAACCCTAAAGTCGTGTGTCCTGAGGCCTAAACCCCATCGACCCTGACCTGGAAACCTTAGGCCTGATTAAGAACATAAACAAACAATAACATCAAAAATACCAATGATTAAACCACGTAGGAATAAGGGAATAATGGTAAGGGAATAATGATAGCATTAACAACATAACAGTGCATATATGTAGGTGTATTGTTGATACACACACATTTTTGTTCTATCCATACATGCATCCGATTAACCGATTAACCCGTGGAGCTGGAAACCTCGGGATGATTATAAGATGTGGGAAGCTACGGGTGTCAAAACCGACAAAACGGGACCAGGCGATGCGACACTTCGGTGGCCGAGAGGGGTGGCCTGGAGCTATCAGAGGTCAGGGCTTCGTTTAGGGTCTAGCACTACTGCCACCACTATTGCTACTACTACTACTACTACTACTACTACTACTACTACTACTACTACTACTACTACTACTACTACTTCTACTACTACTTCTACTACTACTTCTACTACTACTACTTCTACTACGATTTAGCGTAGGGCTTAGGCTTTAGGGTTTCTTCTGTGGTCGGGTGGAGCAAGGCTGGGTTATTTAGGGTTCATGGTCTAGGGAGTCTAGGGTTAAGGGTTTCTTCGGTGGCCGAAGGGGGGTCTGGACCAAAGATGCTTTTTAGCGTTATTTTAGGAGTCAAAACCAAATATGTATAAGGTTTTCTGGTTTCTCATTCTTGAATAAAGGGGTATTTGATGAGCCCCCACATTGACTATCGTGTCAAAATTTGGGGCTGAGGTGAATGTTTGAGCTTTAAGGCTTTAAGGTGTGAGGGACTTGAGTTCCGAGCTCTCCGGGACATGGGAAGGAGCCCAGACTCTAGAGGGTTCCACGAAAGCACAGGCGAAGATGGCTAGCCTCCCATGTCTTAGTCCCAGACGTCTAACTCCATCCTACGTCCTCAATTCTCTCCACCGCCTGTTAAGAATCTTTGGAACACTGTACGCTGTTGTTGGAGCTTTCAGGAGTTGAGGTCCGGGAGGAGCTCCCACCCTTGCCCCAAGGTGTAAAGCCCTGATACGGCTAAAACCCCAAGTCCAAGGCTCTGACCCCGAACGACGACATTGGACATACCTCTCAAGTCCGACACCTGTTCCCTGGTCTGCGAACTGTGCCACCCTATGCTACCCTGAAACAACCTCTGTTAGCCGAAGCAAAGCGGGGCCACCTTATCCCAAGACCTTAAACCCTATAGTCCCTAAACTCAGATCAGCCTCGCCCGGGCTTAGCTGCTCGAACGACGGCGCCGTCTGCTGCGGCTATGGCCTCGGAGGAAGAACGAGGAGAGAGAAGGAGAAACCTAGAGAGAGAGACGGATCGGAAATGGAGGGAAGAGGGTTTTGATCAAACATACCGTAAGTACGCGGGGCATGGCATAGGAGCTCACAAGATGTTGCATGGTGTATAGTATGTAGAAAACCAAGTATATAGTCCATAGTAGATACTGTATGGTTTGTGGTATATAGTATGTCGTCGATACGAGGTACGGAATAGTACCTGGTATACAGTATGTGACGTATAATGTACGGTATACAGCGTATACTTTGCTGTTTCATTTCTTATGTGGAAAATACGCGATGTCGTACATATGTGTAGTGCTATACAACGTAATATGTAGTATACAAATGCAAATTGGAATAAACAACAGCGTATACTATGAAATATACAAGACATATTGCACACCGTGCACATTCTATCATTATGGTGTTTTATACAGAGACCAAAGATTTGGATCAACAGCCCTAGGTCCCCCTTCTGAAAGCAAAGGGACGACCCCTGAAGGGTAGACACCAAACCCTCGAGATGCTGCAACGCGGAACAATAGAGCCCCACAGCAGCACAGAAGCTAACATCCGAATAGGGATGCCCCATAAAAATCCCATTACTATGGAGCCCAATAAGGTCGGATATCCTGGTCGACTGCTATATGCTTATCTTATTAAGGCCCCTACATTATAGTACCATTATGGATCCCCTATAGTAGCCCTTATGTAGACCCCTTTAAAGGGAACCCTGCCGTGAAGCACAGCAAAATCCTCAGCTCCGGGCCGCGGCGGTCGCGCCGGCCCCTGCTCCAAGACGGGAAAAGCCACAGAAGATGAGATAGTATAGGGGCCCTAGTGAAGATGAGATAGGATAGGGGCCCTAGTATTTAGAACAAGACTTTACAGAAGATGAGATAGTATAGGGGCCCTAGTATTTAGAACAAGACTTTGTGGCATGTATGTTGTAGTTTCACAAGGCAATAAGGCCGCAATGTTTAGAACTAGGCTTTGGTACGGATGAATAAGGCATTAATCTTAATATATATATATATATAGAACAGGGGATAGCAGCATAGCAATAGTATACATTTAATAAGGAGCCCTGGCGAGTAGTAACAGCAATGATGCGGGGGAGTGACTGACCGGCAGGTTGACTGGCTGGGAAGACTAACCCAAACCCTAAACAGCAGACACTGAGTTCATAAGCCCCAAAAGTGTACACTTTTGGCGAAATAGTGAGTAAAAGCCCCCAATCCACTCAGCTACTAAGCTAAATGAGAAACTGCAGCCTGGATTTCCTTCGCTTGCTTCGCGAGTGGCTCTTCTTTTTGCTGCGGCTCTTCTTCCTGGCCGTAATACGAGGTCCATGATTCTCCAGAACTCTTATGGTACAAAATCAGGCTTGTAACATGTAGGGAGGCTTAGAGAGGTGCCTACCGTAAGTGTGACGAACTTTTCCGATCCCCCCTTGCCTGCTGGGCTCCCAGGTCATCATCTGGGTTCTTGTTAAAGGATTTTAATGTAAGCTACCATAATAATAAGGAAATCACATTATTTACTGAAGATCCTTATTATGGAAACTTGAATTGAATCCCTTAACAAGAACCCAGTCACTACTGAGGGGCCCCAGCGGACGGAATGTTTGCACGATGCATCCGCGACAGTCGAAAAACTCTTGATCTTCATGCCTAATCTGCAGCCTCCCTCTGTTCACCCAACCCCATGACACCCACGAAAGCTTCAACCCCCAAACACCGCGCCCTAAACCCCAACGCGCCCTAAACCCCAAACCGCCCTAAACCCCAAACCCTCCTTCACGCCCCGTCCCCCAAAAAGCCCAAAGCGTAGACCATGAAACCCTAACGTGGGCCTTTTTGAGGCGTCGGAGCTGTCTGACTTCTCTCGCTTCTTCCGCCGACTCTTCTCGTCGGAGCTATTCGACTTCTCCCGCTTCTTTTTTCGAGTCCGACTTCTGGACTTCGAGGCCCTCGGTGCTGAGGGGGGTTCAGAGGGTAAGGTAGGGTGTAGGGTTTATATAGTCCGGAGTTCAGGGTTCAGGGTTTCGGGGACCCGAACTCCGAAGCTTCACGCTGCAGGCTTCAAACCCCAAGGATCCGTTTGAGTTCGGCGTTCGAGGAGTGCGGCGTGCTTCCAGGGCACTCGCCACGACAGCTTAGGGTTTAGGGTTTAGTAATTTAGGGCTTAAGGGGTTTAGGGCTTTAGGGTAGGGGTTTGGGGTTTAGGGTTTTGTTTCCTGCGGTGGAAGCATCATTCGCCACTGTGGCTGTCTTCTCTCTTTGCCGGCTCAGGCTGGAGCCTGACCCTCCACCTGCCCTCTATTACGACCCATAGTTTGCGACCATGCTCCCCTATTGAGGCTTGCAAGCTTGATACAGGGTCCTTAATAATTGGAATATAGGGTTTGGGAGTATACTCTTCCATAATTATTCTGAACCCTTCCTTTAAACCCTAAAACGAAGGTTACTGAAAGCCTTAAACCCTGAAATGAACCCCAAAATAAACCCGATTCTGAACCATGCAATAAACCCTTCTTTCAAAGCCCCTATAAACTCTCTATAAACTTTAAAACCCAGAGCCTTTAGGGCTTCGAGCTTCGGTACTCGCTACCCACCCTGAGCAGCCAACGGACACAGAAGCCTTCAACTCCCTAAAAACCCTATAGTCGGACCTGGATCTCCTATAAAACCTAAAGACCACAATTAGTCAGCACTTAGATTTTTGAAAAGAAGGTCGTAGGGCGCCAGCGACTTAGATTTCGACTTCTTCTTTTTCTTTTTGCCAGACTCTGCCTCGGATTGAAGCGTCTTCTGACTAAGAGTCCCGGGGCGGGCTTACGCGTTAGTCTGTTGGCCCAATTGTTTAGGGTTTACTTGAAGTCCCAGTCCAGAGTTCGGGGTTTTGGGTAACTAGAAACTGCGAGCCTTGAACACGGAGGGTCTTTTCATTTTCATCCGAACTCCACGTCTGCCCCAAATACTCCGTTGAAGCCAGCCAATAAGTTGGTTCACGCCGAAACGCCTAAACCGTAAACTCCGTCTAGTTTCTTGGAGTTTCAGACACTTAATCTGGGGATCTTAAGAGACATGCAGTAACAGGGTTTGGGGGTCTACTCATTTCATTTGGGAACCTTAAGAAACAGCACGTAGTATCAAATTTCTGGTCGTTATTGCTCTCCAAACCCCGGGCGTTGGGGTGGGGATTCCTGCATCCAAACAAACCCGAAAGGTTTAAACTCTGCCGAGATGCGGAGCTATCCGACGCAGCTTTCCGCTTACGCCTGGAAGAGGCTTAGGGTGCAGGTGGCTTGACTGAAGGCTTCGAAGCTCTGGAATTCGGGCTTCAAAACAAGGGGCCTGAGCAATTAGAACGGGAGGTTTTTCTGCAAAATCATACCTGTGATGCTATTACTGCTTGTTCGAACCTCTGTATTAGGTGCTTGATAGATAGGCTTCCCATCCTGAAGGCTCCGTGCTGCCTCCAGCCATCCTAGGCCCGGGGGCCCGGGTGCGGGCTCACATGGGCCTGCAGCACTCACTGTTCATCCGGCCTCCTGTTTCAAACCGCTGCGAAACCTTCGAGCTCCTACTTTACGATGGTTCAACTATGGCTTTTTGGTTGTTACACTGTAGTTGTACCATAATTACACTATGATTATCCTCTAGCTATACGATTCTTTGCTATAGTTTTAGTGTACTCATTATGCGAACATTAGCTACTATACCACGATAACGCTATGATTAAACAAAAAATAGGAGCAGACACCCCAAGACACTATTCTAATGAGTTCAGGCCCCTAAGTTACGGTCTAGCAAGGCGGATAGAATCTTGGGCGCGGGCTTCTTGCTCTTTGATCGCCCCCTCTCTGCCTTCATGTGCAGGAACGGGATTTCAGGGCGGTTTGTCGACTGCGAAGGCTTGTGCGTGCGTCGAGGCGCATACAGACTGATATGATCTTAGGTGATCAGAGGATTAAAGGTTGAGGGTTTAAGGTTGAGGGTTGGCAGTTCAGGCGTTTGGGGCTGTGGGTTTTAGGCATAATAGGGCTGCTGTGCTCCTGCAAACAGAAGGAGGTAATCTAGGGGGCCTTAATAACTAGAATCGGGCTTTGCGGCCCATTATACCATAATGATGATAGGGGTTCCCCAAAATAGTATTGGTGAGTATGTAAGCCCCTATAGGAGCAGGAACGGCCATAAACGAGACAAAAGAAAGCAGGTCTAAATAGCCCCGTACACATGGAACCTCAATTTGAAACAGCAAAGAAGACCTACGCGAGGTGGCGCGCATCGAATGAGGCTTGGAACCTCCAAGGTAGAAGTCGGGGGCATTCTGCAGCTTTGAAGACAGACGTTGGTTTGTCCCAAACCGTCGGCCCCAAACACTAGAAGCCAACTATACTATACTATACCATACTTTACTTTCCTATTCCATACTATACTATATTGGAGAAGCCAACTATCCAAACCCTACACCCTTTTGAACGGCGTTAGGAGGCCCCCATCCCCAAACCCTGAACCCAAGCCTGGGACATTAACAGTAAGGATCGTAATCTTTGTAGTAACAACAGTAGCATAATAAACAGAACAGGAATGATAGTAGTAGTAGTAGTAGTAGTAGTAGTAGTAGTAGTAGTAGTAGTAGTAGTCGTCGTCGTCGTCGTCGTCGTCGTCGTCGTAATAAGAATAGTCATAGTAGCAGAATATAAGACTAACAATAGATGACTTAAAGCTCTGGGTTGCGGGTGCTCGGGCCAAGGGTTTGTTTGGGCTGAGGGTTTTGGCTTCGGGAAAAGATGCACTTAGGTTTTGGGGGTTTAGGCCACCGCCAAGCAGAGAATGCTTCCATGGATCACAAGGACATCTTACGACCAAGAAGTGCCCGGGCCCGGCGAAAAGCCTCAAAACTATGTACATAACTCTAAACCTGAAACTCCCACCACACATTCCCTACATGTTGAACCATCCATCTCTTCGATTCGAAGCCAGACATAAACTCTACCCTATGTTGACGACATTGCGCGGCCCGGCCCAAATCCTAAACCGTAATAGACTACGCCCTTAATCATTAGAATCGGGCTTTTGGGGGCTAGAGTGAAGGAGATACTTGGAGTGTTGGAGTTACTCCCCACCTTTACATGAAACCTCTGTCGACCCGGCCTTCTTCGGCGGCGGGGAAGCAGACTTGGATTTGGACTTTTCACCTGAGAGCTCTACACAGGACCGTCTTTGGCTAGTCGTGGCTTGAACTCTATACGGATTCCGTAAGGGTTCAGGGCTAATGGAGCTCAGGGCTTATGGTTTGCTGTAGCAGTAGCGCAGCATGTGGGCTCGGTGCCTCTTGAAATGGCCCCGCTCCAGGGGGCGGAGCTACTACAATGAACCCTCTGAAGCCAGGCTTACGAATCATGAACACACTCCCTCTCTCTCTCTCTCTCTCTCTCTCTCTCTCTCTCTCCCTCTCCCTCTCTCTCTCTCGACATGGAAGGTGCAAAGGGAACCGAAGATAAGATTGGGATCCCGACTCTTCTTGTCTTCGTTCTCCTTTTCATCAGAGCTGTCCTGCGTGACAACAGTGGGCTCCCAGAACCTCAAGACGGACTTGTGATTTCGACCGATCTCCTTGTCTGACTTCTTCGCGGCTTTCTCGGCGTCGCTGTCTTCCTCCTCCTGGCGTGTCAATAATCGTTGCTTCTTGATATCATTCTGATTGCGAGTGCTGTGGTGCTTATTGTGACTGTGGCTACTGTCGAGCTTGACAAGCGGGCTATGAGGCTGTCAGCACAAACCATGAAACTGGGAGAGGATGATGGGAGAACCAGAACTCTGCACTGACTGGTTTTTCAGCGGCCAAAACCTTAAAACCAAGAACGTGCTCTCCTTCTTCTCCTCCTCCTCCTTCTCGTCGTCACCTTGAATGTATGCATGTATGTATGTATGTATGTATGTGCGCACGTACATGCGTGCGAAGGTAGGTAGGCAGGCAGGGAGGCAAGGCAGGCAGGCTTTACAGATGTGATGCATGTACGATCACGTACGTATGTATGTCTTGCTGAAGCATTTTGGTGATACACAAAAAGCATCACAGCACATCACCGTGTAAGATTCTACGGATAGTGACATGGCATTTGAGACATGTGTTCGTGGCGGTGGCAACGCCAGTTGTCTCCGAACCCTTCTTACACTGTGCTGCAGGGATCGAACTTTCATACGAAGGGCTTCAGACCCCGAACCGATGACAAGAACTTCTGGAAATTCGCTTGACGTATAACGCATATACCATAATATACTGTAACATGCTATAATGTACTATAATGTACTATAATGTACTATAATGTACTATAATGTACTATAAAGTACTATAAAGTACTATAAATAAGGTACCATAACAAACTACAATATACTTCTGTAGAGCTTATCACCCCTGCAAATTTTGGGCTCCAGGGTTCCTGGATTCGGGAGGGTTCCCGCGGCTTCCAGGCTCAACGGGACCGTGTGCGTGGGGAGCAACTGTTGATGATATAAATCCTGCATTACCTTAAGGACCCTAAACTATGGGAAATATGGTATATTCCGTATAATGGGTAATGCAGGGTTTATATCATCAACCGAAGGACCAGTGGGCAGAATTTCGCCCAGGTGGCCTGGGTTCTTGTTTCAGACATTTACTTCAAGTTGCAATGATAAGGAAACCGGATTACTTAATGTAGGTTCATTCTATGGTAACTTCAACTAACTTCCTTAACAAAAACCCAGTGGCTGCTTCCCTTCTTCTCTTTCTCATCCTCCTTGTTCTTGTTCTCATCATCGCTATCCTCCAGCCGACTTAGCTCAAAATCTCGGTAGGCCCAGCGTGTTTAAAGCCTTTCGGAATATACCTTAAAGACCTTGCCCCGCTCTACTCTTTTTACACGAAGCTCCCTACATGTGGGAAGGCCAGGCAGCGGTCGTCACGACGGGAGCGAAGGATGAGGGGGAGGAGGCGAGAAGTTCCAGAGGTCGAAATTGAAGCCCAGGAGTTCGGCAATCGTAACGCCCTACTTAACGGTTTAGGGTTTAGGGATTAGGGTTTAGGGATTAGGGTTTAGGGTTCTCCAATTGCGTGGTTTACCACCCATGTGCGGTTGCAAGCCCCCTTACAGACCTAGACCAGTAAACATCGCAGAGCTTTGTCCGACAGGCTGGTGCTTAACATGCTCCAGGTGAATCTGAAATCCGATCCTGAATTCTGAATCGTAATCCCCAAATCTTTATAGATTTGTTAAAACTCAACCCTAAATCCCTGAAGTCCTAAATCCCTCAAATCCCAGATTCCTACATCTCTAAACCCTGTAAATCCTAAATCTTAAACTCCTGAACCACTAAACCTTTCAACCTCCAAATCCCTACAATTTTAAACCCTAAAGCCCCTAAACCCCTAAAACCCTAAACCCCCTGCAACCCTAAACCCACAAGCCCTAAATTCTACCCCATTAGCGGCTTAGAGGCTGCAAGAACCGTTTGGGCTCTCTCCGACGAACTCAAACCGAGGGCTAAACCCCATTAACGGTTTAGGGTTTAGGGTTTAGGGTTTCATGGATTTAATGGAATTAAGTTACCATAATGTACGGTTCCTTTGGGGGTTATAGAGAACCCCATTGCTGGGTTCTTGTTCATGGGTTTAATGGAATTAACTTACCATAATATCCGGTTCCTTTGAGGCTTCTAGACCTAAACCCACAAGCCCCTACATCCTCAACCGCAAAGCCAAAGACCCCTACATCCGAAACCCCAAGGACGGTCCAGGGACGGAGACTCGCACACTGCCCGGAGGATCATGGGACTCAGTAGGTAGGTTTAGGGTTTAGGGTCTTTTTTTTTTAAAGTGCAGTGGCCTCTTTCTGTTGCAGGGGTTTAGGGTTTAGGGTTTAGGGTCATTATAAGTACCTTAATTGGTGGTATAAGTCATCATAAGTATAGTTATCCTTTTCTCGAAACCCCAGACCCTAGATACTAAGTGCCATGATCCTATATGTAGTCAGCTCTTTTTCTTCTTGCTGAAACATTCGGGACTGGTCTCGGAGGCGCAACTCTCGATGTAACGAGGCCCTCCTGTGACCTAGGAGCTTATGGTGAAGGATTGAGGGTTTAGAATTTAGCAGGGTTTGGCAGCATTGAGGGGGATTTCTGGGGCTTCGGGAAACCCTAAACCCTAAGGTTAGGGTTTAGTGTTCACCATGGTTTTTGTAGGCTTTTGAGTCCCGCAGGCCGCTATCATGGCGTCAGGACAGCAGACTGCTACCTAAACTCGTTGGCTTGCCATCGCGGCCAACATATGGGCCTGAATGATTAGAATAGGGTGTTGGGGCCCAGTTTTGCCATGACTATAATAACAAACCCCAAAATAGATCGTACTGGTGATTAATCCCGCCCCTATATTAGGCGGTCATGGTCGACACTTCAGCTGCCTGGCCTTGGGGGGGAGCCTGTTCAACCAGGAAATCACGCTTGCAGTTGTTGCAAAGCCTTTTGGCAAAATCCCAATCCCGAACCCGCTAGCCGCTATCCCTGGCTCCGAGCCAACATGACTAACACCGAACTTTATATGGGGTATCCGGAGTTACAGAAGCAACAGGCTGCCATATCACAATCACAATTCTCTGGGCCGCCCTGTGACGAGAGAGTTGTCTGCCTCCTAAGCGAACGAGTCAAAGCATGTGCCAAAGGTCCACGGAGCTTCCAGGGCAGCCCCTGAGCCTCTAAGGAAAATGCCATCTGCAAGGGCACCATATATATATATATATATATATATATTATTATGATACGAATAGGGTTTCGGGGCACTATGAATTCCTGTAATCAGGCACCACCATCTTAAACGGGGGCTTAATCATCAGAGCAGGCTTGTTGGGTGATACTCTGGAAAACCTGTAATCAGGAGCCCCACAGAACAGTATTGGCTGGCTGTTTTTATGCTCTGAAAGGTTTGCTGGTTCAAGGTTGAGGACGGAATATAGGGACCTTGACAATTAGAACAGGCTTTTGGGGTAGAGTATACTATGCTATAACTATCATGAGGAACCCCGAAAAACGGTCCCTATAGCACGGACTTTGGGATAGAGGATTGTCGCACAAATGTTTTGTTCTGCACTGAGGCAAACTATGGGGTGAATCCTGAAGCCCTACCGAGCACATCGAATTCTGGAAGATGGATGTCGGATAGCAGCCAGCACGGCTCCACGAAGCAACGAACTTCAACGCATGTGGAAGTTTCGCAAAACAAGGAACCCGGACCTCTAAACACGGCATCCCCTTTACTCGGCGTTCTTCTAGTGTTCGCACTTCTCCGAGCCCACGCTGAGTGCCAAGTCGAGAGCTATTCCGACGGAGTTCCCGGTAACTCCTGGTATAGGGGCCTTTATAATCAAACTGTGATGCTCGGTTATATTTGGCTATAACTCCCTGTAACAAAACAACTCTGAGGAACACTAGGGCGAACTATCCAGGCCCCTATAGTATATGGGCTGTTCGAATTGAAGGTGTCCCCTTGAAGGCGACCGTGCGCTGGGTTAACAGTTCAGGGATAGAGCGTTCCGGCGTTGAGGGTTTTTGAGGGATTCTGTAGCATATTCATCACCAGATGTCCAAATGACAAAGCAGAACCGTAATAAGACTCACAGTAGCACTCGTGATCATGGTCATAACCACAGAAAGCATAGTAATCCTGATGATAGTGGTAGTAATACTAGTGATATAGGATCAAGAATGGCGCAGCAACGGTTATCACGTCCACACGAACCGTGATTTCTCTAACCGAAACCCCAAACCTGTCTCCTTCCAAACAGGGACTCCAGGATTCTAGCAACCCCAATCTGGGTCTGCGCTCGTCCCGTTCGGGGGGCAGGGGTCCCCCGTCCGAACTTCCTGGGTTTCATATCAGGGAGTTTCCGAAAATTAGGGGTACCTTATGCTGGGGTCCTTGCAATAAGGATCCTACTATTTAGGGTACTGAATTAGGGTCTCCTATTTTCGGCAACTCCCATTTAGACCAAGGTATTGAGGAACATCTTGGTATACTTATCATCAGGTGCCCTGAAAAAACTCTGTTATTGTTCAAGAGTGCATAGAAGCGTTTCGGCATAGGGTTTTAGGATGAGGATTACCCAGAACGGACAGGCTGTTGGCTGTCATTTTTGGAAGCTGTATCCAAACTTCATGGTTCTCAGGGGATGAGTTATCTGATTGCCCTTTCAGTGTAGGGGTTTAGGGTCCAGGGTAAGTTTGACGCTTTCTGAAGTATCTAACTAATTTGCGTTGAAGTGTTGGAGGGCGGCTTCCACTACATCAAGGAAGAGACCGTTTGGTGAAGGCTCCCATCTGCCATATATGCTTTTCATCGACCGAGACTTGTAGCGCAGGCCCTTGGCAAGTTGTTCTAAAAAAGTTCAGCGATGGTGCATGGAACGTTCAGACTACGTCCTCCGAAAGCTATTCTCCACACATGCACGCAAAAGTCTGCTATGCTTGGGACTGGCGGCTTCACGGTTCGAAGACTGACCAGAGCCTACTGAATGCAGAGTGTTCGGGTTGTCTATGCAGGCGGCAGTGACGTCGGATGCAACGCCCTAGGTCCACATCAATGTTGGGGCTTCCGACGGCGTGAAGCATGTGTGCAGCAGCAAACAAACCAAAGGACGAGCGGCTACCCTGCTAGCTCAAGACATTGGAGCGGGCAGGGCACAAAATGGTCTGGTGTCGCGACCATAAACAGAAAGCCCAAGAAACAGTCTTAAGTTGCCTCAAGTAATCAAGGATACTTAGTCCTGAAATCCTGAACCCACAAGCTTGAAACCAACCCTTTAAACCCTGCAGTCAAGCCCGAGGTGGGAAAATTGAGAACCTCAGCGGCTTGCACAGGAGATGGCATCTTTGAAGCGCGGTCAGCAGACGCAGGTTCGACTCTCACGACTCACGGCGACGATTTCCGTGAGACGTAGGACCGATTCATCACGCGCGCTCCCACTCCAGAACCATGTCTCTGTAAATCATACTGTTCCTGGTACTTGTTGCACGAAAGTCACGTACAACCTGCGCATGTGGACAGCTGAAGCGAGTTGGTCAATGACGCAACGTTTTCAATGTAACTACTTCAGGTAAGAAGCGATTTCTTCTCGGAGGGCCCCGCCATGTTGGAAACCACCCCCCATCTAATTTTGGGTTTCCAACCAACCTGAGAAGCATCATTTGGTGGTGCTGCGCTGACAGCTAAATTCCACATGGCTCAAGGGAAGACACGCTCTCATTCATCCAACAGCGTGCCATCCCACAAGGATTCCTCAGCTGCACCGTAGATCTTGCAGGCACGGGCTGCTTTAGGGGCTTTACAGTTTTGGTTCAGGCTACAGGGTCCCCGGGCTCGACGGGCTCGATCCCCTTTAAGCGAACATGAGCTTGGGTTGCTCATTTGGGCTTATAAGATTCAGATTATGAGATTGCGCTTCCTCCGGGTTCGTAGCTTCGGGGACTTGACCGTGGAGTCACTCCAAGCAGTTCAGCTGCACACCATGACTTCGACTCGTGGTGGGGAAGCTTAGTGGGTTTCGAGGCTTCTGTCGTTCCAGCCCATGCCGTCCAGACAGAGAGAGCAAGTCGAAGGTGTACGACTTATGTTTGGGGCATGCTTCAGTAAGAGTTTGGATGATCATGATGACGATGATGATGATGGTGATGATGGTGATGACGGCGACGATGATGATGATGATGCCGACGAAAATGACGATGATGATAATGGTGATGACGACGATGGCGATGATGACGTTGATGACGATGACGATAA